TCAAGTCCCAGAATTCCCCAGCCACCCATGCTGGCTGGGGAATTCTGGGAGTTGAAGTCCAGGCATCTTCGAGTTGCTAAGGTTGAGAAACACTGGTTTATAGCCATCTCATATCTTGGGGCCATGAGTTCCATAAGCTAATTAAGCTAACCTCCTTCTCCTGCTTACCTTCAGCTGTTACAAAAGGCAGAAGAAAACACTTCCACACCGCCCCATGGTCTTATATACTCTACCCCACGTCCACAATACACTCTTCCACAAATTACCTGTCCCCATTTTAACATCAATGAGTGTATTGTGCAAACTCTTAAGCAGTGGAACACCCTGCCCCTTGGAGTCCTAAGGGCTCCATCGCTAGGGTTTTCGAGAAAGCTCGGGCAGCCTTTTGCTCGGGATGTTTGAGAATCCCTGATCTGGGGCAGGGGTTGGACTAGAAGATCTCAAAGATCCCTTCAAACCCTAAGATTCTAAGGAACATGCTAAGATGCTAAGGAACATGCTAAGGTTCTAAGGAACATGCTAAGATTCTAAGGAACATGCTAAGATCCTAAGGAAGATGCTAAGATTCTAAGGAACATGCTAAGGAAGATGCTAAGATTCTAAGGAACATGCTAAGGAACATGCTAAGATTCTAAGGAACATGCTAAGATTCTAAGGAACATGCTAAGGAACATGCTAAGATCCTAAGGAACATGGTAAGATTCTAAGGAACATGCTAAGATTCTAAGTTGCACCAGTTGAACTTTCTGTATTTTGTGGGGGGGAGGGAGACAAAAGAGCTCATCTCTGAACGACACCAATGACAAATTAACTGCAGAGGAAAAACAGAGTGCTTTAATGACATCTTTCAAGGCCTGCTAGGATTCTAGCCCAGAGAAAAGAAGCTATCAAAGATTTATTCACCTTCAAGGCAAGGCAAAGTCTATTTTTTTTAATATATTTTGCTGCAACTGACAAAACCTGGGCCTTCTGAAATGAGATGCAGCAAACTGATTTGACATATTGAACAATAAAGGAAAACATGATCCCATAGATACATGCTCAGTATCTAAGCCTCCCCAATTTCCTTTTTTTGTTTTCTTTCCTTTTTTATAGTTGAATTAAAATATTTGGTTAGGGGGAAAGAAGAAATGATAAAGTACAGAAGAAGTCCATCCAGGAAGACTCTTAGAAGATTTTAAGAGTTCAGATTTCCTACATAATTCATTTGGTTAGGGGGAAAGAAGAAATGATAAAGTACAGAAGAAGTCCATCCAGGAAGACTCTTAGAAGATTTTAAGAGTTCAGATTTCCTACATAATTCATTTGGTTAGGGGGAAAGAAGAAATGATAAAGTACAGAAGAAGTCCATCCAGGAAGACTCTTAGAAGATTTTAAGAGTTCAGATTTCCTACATAATTCCCACACCCCAAAATTAACCCAAAATTAAATTAAATTTCAGTTAAGGAAAGCAGGAACAGGATCTCAACCTTGGTTCTATTATGAACTAATCCAAAAGTACCTGCATATTTTTGAAGGCATTACACTTTCAATAATGTAATGCAGATTTAAGCAGGACAACGAATGAAGGAATCGTTTTGAAACAATTTATAAAGTTGTTAAACTGCTTGAGAAGCAAAACTCTCCCAAAGTGGGCTTTTCATAAAAGGAATAAAGCCCAGCCCAATGTTACTTCTTGGGATCTTCCTTTAAGACTTTTTAAAAATGCCCTTTTAAAATGGATGTTGTTTTCTGCAGCAAGACTAAATAACAGGCGTGCTTTCTGGGGAAATGTGGAAAGCTGAGAACTTGCAAGGAACTGGGCTACCGTGCAGTGCTGGTTATGTTATTAACCCCAAATTCTCACCAATGTCCTTTTCCCCCCATATCCCGTTGCTTGGAGAGATCCGATGCATCTCTCATTTCTCCAGGCTAGCGGCCAAAAGTTAAATTTGGCGGGGGGGGGGGCAGGGGGGAAGGAGTCATTAATCTAGTCAGGTGTTGGGTTAAATCTGGTCGCTAAAGAAACCTGATCCGTTCACCAAACACTTTTCTCCTTGTTGAGTTCCATTCAATTTCATCCAAGAACCGGAGCAATCAGAGAAAAGACTTCAGCAGAGGTTAGATCTGGGGATGGGGAGAGACAAGGAGACCTGGAGAACATCTCTCTGGCTGGCTTCACACAGCCTTTCCAGACCTAACAGCAAAGTTGCCCAACTTCCTACGTCTGGTTAATTTTAACCCTGGCTAGTTCATGGTTTGGCTAGCACAGAGGTTGATGCTTTGTCCAAACCCACAAAACAGGTTTACTCAGGAACCAAGTTTGGTGGGTAGCACAAACTCAGCTGGAAGGTTATCGGCCGTTTTTGCTAAGAGACAAAGATCAAGGCAAAGTTGTTGAGAAGTTCAAACGAATCCGTTTGTGAGTCAGTCCCCCCTCACGTGTAGGTCCTACGCTTCTGAGTGTGCACAGAAGAACATTCCCGTTTTGGAAAAATGCCTTCGGGATGAATCCCAGGGTGCTCTAAAATGGAGTGTTTCCCTCCCAAGTTAGGAACTGTGCTCTGGGTTTGAAATAGATGTATTGGCAAAGGATAGATCCGGACAGGTGGGCTAATGGGGCCAAGAAGCCAATGTTTTCTGGGGGAGCTGAGCTCCCAGCTCCCTTGTTGGCGCAGGAATTGCTGGGGAGGGGAGTGCCTTCCAGTAGACTTGCCCACTGAATGCTTTCGGCACCTCCCTCCCGGTCCTGGAGAAAGATCTGGGGGCTCCCTGGGGCTAGGACTCAGCCCAGGGCCTTCCTTCCAGGCAGCACATCAGGCATGGCGTCTCAGAACATGCACAGACTGCCAAGCGGCATTACAAGAAGCTGCCTCGCAGGAGAAACGCAGCCCAGCTTCAGCTTCAGCGTCTCTTCCAAAGCCAGACTCGGCCCGGAGGGGCTGCCAAGGTCGGGCTGCTTCTGCCCGAGGCTTGGGCACCAACACCAGGCTGAACTGTGCCCAATCAGGGCAACACGGGGAGCGTCAGGGGCAGAGCGCGGGGCAGGATGAGCTGCAGGGCATGCTGCAAGCAGATTCCCCCCAAAGAGAGGCAAAACCCCAGCGAGGCCGGGATCTCTTTCTCTCGGAAAACTCGCCTTCCTTTTTAGTCCACACAAACAGCTTGTGATTCAAGCCCCAGCACATCTCTCTGTTTTCTTCTCCTTTTCCCCCCTCCTTTTCCGCTTATAACTCGGTCAGGACCAAATATTTATCATTTCCCAAACCTTATAAGGAGGAACAGAAAGGGGCGAGGAGGAAAAAGGAACGCACGGCTGGCAACCGCTCTCTCCTCCTGGTCTCCCCCACCCAAAAACGCTTCCAGAAAAACAAAGGCGTTCCGCCTCCAACTCGGAGAGCCGTGCAGAGGCCCAGCAGCCTCCAGACACTACAATTCCTATCGCTCCCAGCCAACTGGCACAGTGACCAGCATCCTCTTCGTCCCCTGAGGCTGCAACCCCCAACCAACCCCAGCACTGGGGGATGATGGGAGTTGTAATGCAACCTCCCCAAGATCCACTCGTGTCCGGCACATCCACTGGTTTGCAGCCACCTGCTTTGTTGGGTGCAACAGAGGACCCCAAGAAAACGTGGGGCTTGTCCCCCAGCGCTGGCTGTTTCCTCTTACACAATCCCCCTCCTCCCATTAGCCCTCCTCCTCCATTTCCTTACTTAGTTCTCCACTCAAACCTCCTAGGAAGACAGCTGCGTTTGCACAACAGGCTAACCGTGGCTTAACTGAACCAAACCCAACCAATTTGGGTTTACCAAAGCAACCCAATTGCCTAACTTCCCCCAACATGGTGAGCCATAAGTTAACCCCCGTCTAGGTTCATACAAGCACCTGAACCACAGAGAATCAGGGGGCTGGAAGGGATCTTGAAGGTCTCCTAGTCCAACCCCTGCCCGGGGTGAGAATCCAGACAAATGGCTGTCCAACCTTTGTTTGAAAAGGCCAGAAAATCCCTTCTTATTTCGAGTTTGGACCTCCCTCTGCAAAGCTTCCACCCACTGGAGTACTGAAAAGCCAATTTTAACCTACTTAACCCAACTAGCCTGCATTTCTTTGCCTGGTGGGAACTGAGCAACTGCAGGCCAATTTCTGCTCCGACACCCGGGTGTTCACATCAGACACACCCAGCCACGTTTTAAAGCAAACAGCTAAAAGGAAGTAAGTCAAGCCTCTGATGGCATTACCACCCCACGTGCTCTCTTTCCCAATAGGACAGCCAGGCTGTGTTCAAGCACTGCTGCCCCTCCACTGGGCGGGGGTTGAACTAAATGACCTCTAGGACCCCCAGAACAGTAAAATTCCCCCACAGTCCTTTTACAGGCGAGGCCTCTGCTTCATTTTAAAACCTGCGGCCCAAAGCCTGACACAGCAAAATGATAAAGGAGGAAGTTCAGAGCGGGTGGCTCTCGGAGATGGCCACGGACGTAAACTCCCACACCGAGTGGGCTTCCTGGACGCGAGCCCGTGGGCGTCAACAGGCTGAGCACCCTAGCGAATGGACGGTTTCCAGTGGCTCGGCCCATTCTCTCAATGGACAAGGTCCCGGGGAGCATTTGTGAGAGCACCCACAACCTGGCCGGCTTGGAGAGGGTCAGATTGGCTCGCTGGCGTTTAGAAAGGCTCTGCCCCACAGCTCCAATCCTTCGAATACTGGGAACTGATCAAGATCACTGTGGCGGGGTCTCTCCCCGTCTGTCCCGTCCAAGGGAGCCAGTTTGGAAGGTTTTATTTCTGTCTCCTAATCACCTACGGCGAGAGAAGGGGTTTTGCCAGGCGACTAAGCAAGGACATCAGTTTCTCTCGGTTTTTTGGTCTGCCAGTAACACGTGCCAAGGTCGTTTTGGACAGGTGGAGGCCTTTCCCCCCAGAGTTTATAAAGCCATCTCTCTCCACCAGCACCCCCCACATCCCTTCTGCCTCTCGGACGCCCAATCGAAGTCTCAACCATCTGTGCAAACAACTGGGCTCTTTCTATTCTGACAGCAACGAACGAACGATCAATTCTGGCCTAGACAGCTTAGCAACGCAGAAACCAACAGACCATCAAGACCACCCTGGCCATATCCTTGCCACACCCTTAACCAGGTTAGTGAAAGACCTAGAGATCATATTCACACAGCAGGCTGGATTGGATAAGCTCAGTTAGTATTTTTCGCTGCTGCTTTGCACAATTCCTCCAGCCAGCTTGGTGTCGGGGTGAAGGGGCTGGGCTAGAAAGCAGGAGACGGCGCGTCCTAGTCCCGCTGTAGGCAGGAAAGCCGGCTGGGTGACTTTGGGTCAGTCCCTCCCTCTCAGCCCAACCCACCTTCCAGGGTTGTTGTGGTGGTGGGGAAACAGGAGGCAGGAGATTTAGGTACGTTTGCTGCCTTGAGTTGACCAAATGTGTGTGTGTGTGCATGTATATACATATATATAATATAATATATAAGTTATATATATTAATATAATATAATATATAAGTTTATAATATATTATAAAATATAAAGTGGGATAAAAATCTAATAATAATACAGTAATTCCAGCCCATCTGATTAGTGTATGGAACAGTGTATTGTACAAATCTGCAAAAACGGGTCCAGTCAATAACTGGGGTGAGTGGGTTCTGTGAATGCAGCCCTTGGTTCCTTCTAGCGCTGACTCCACCCCCCTCAATTTGGGAGACTAAGGTCTTTAAATCGAATGCTTCTTTACCAGGCTTTGCAGATCCATCAGCGCTAATGTGCAAAGGTTTATCCCGACCTCTCCGTGCCATGCAGTCCCAACACTCTGTAACTTCTGGGATTGATTACTACATGGTGCTATATAAGGGGCTGCCCTTGAAGGCCGCTCAGAAGTGTCACTGGGTGCACAGCACCAGGCTACATCGAAAGTACCAGGATGGGTGAACATAATTAAGCTTTTCTGCACCACCAGACTGACTCCCCATTGGCTGGGTTTCATGCAAGGGCACCCCATTGACGTTCAAAGCTACAATTGCACTAAAACTTTAACACAGACTCCCCAGCCAGGGCCCTCCCCATTTTGAGCAGGTCCAAGTGCCAGCTGGGAATTCTGGGAGTTGTGGTCTCAGTTCAGGTCAAGGAAGGCAGTAACTTGTCAACCCAAACTGTAATCATCAAACATTTTCTTATGGACTAGCCACTTGCTCTCTCTGCCACTGGAACTGCAGCTTTCCACCAAACGGATCATATTAAAATTCAATATAAAAACATGCAGAAATATAATATAAATATAAATATAAATAAGTGCAGAAAAAGGCGGCCTGCCATCCCATATTTGCCGCAGAATTAAAAGGCAACTGCAATAGCTGTACAATTATAACTGAATTCTTGCAGAGAGGCTAAAAAATTCTACTTGAACTAGACTTGGATTCCCCCACCCCCAGAAGAGTTTCAATTTTTCTTTTTTTTCTGACGAGCATTTGGCCATCCTAGCACTTTCTGTGGTTATTTTTAATCTGGAAGATTTTTTTGGCTTTTAAAAAAGAATTTGGCTGTATTTTCCCCCTCCCTTACAGCTGTTTTCCGAATTCTTTCTCGCTTTCTTTTCGGGCTGAAAGGAAGCTGGAGCTGTTTACACTCCAAAGTGTGGCAGTATTTTGAATGTATTAAGTAAATATTCATATGCTTACTATCTAACCTCAATCCACCACTTCCTGGTGTGCAAACCCCACCCACCAATTCTGTTTTTTTCTCTAAAGACTGTGGTTCAAAGCTCACAAGCAGAGGAAGTTGTGTCACACTTAGCACTGCCCTACCTGGAAAGGCCAAAAACTAAATTTGGGACATTTTTTGCCGCAAAGTATCTGCTGGGCCACACAGCTGTGATTTCTCCTCTAAGCAGAAAGCGGGGCTCCAGTCCTCATGACTCTGAGTCAAAGCCTCATTGAAAGAGGAACCGCTTCAATTAAAGATTCAGAGGCTGGCCTTGGCACGATCCTAACCTTGATTCGCTTTAAATGCTGTTTTGGGGGATCAATGGCTGCTGCAAAATCAGTCTTTGGGGTGATTAATTCCTGCTTCGGTGGGCGCCACAGACCCGGCGCACGGGCGCCCTCGCTCCCAAAGGGTTATGCGAATGGGGATCTATGCACCGGCTTTCAAGTAGGGGTGGAGGGGGGTTCCCTTTCTCCCGCCGAGCCCCCTGCGTGGCAAAGTTGGCCACAGGGCCCCCCGGCGTCCTTCATCCGTGTGCCCGCCTGGCCTACCTTGCAAGGCGGGTGTGGGACGCAGACCGCGCTCGCCAAGTCCGGAGCGCGTTTTCCGGGGGCCCAAGGCGACGCGCGGCGCCCAGCCGGGTGGGCCAGCCCGCCCCGCCGCCCCCCGCCCGCGGGCCCCGATTCACCATTTCTTGGTGCACTCCACCACCAGCTCCTGGTAGCAGGCGACGAAGCGGAACTTGGCCGCCCGCTTGCCGACGCGCTGCAGCCGCTTCCACACGGAGCTCATGGCAGCGCCGGCCGCCTCAGCGCCCCATCCCGCTCCGCTCCGCCGGGAGGAAGTCCGGGCAGACGGCAAGAAAGTTGCGAGCGGGAGGAAGGAGGCGCGCCCGGCTCCGGGGGAGGGGCCTCGGGGAGGGGGCGGGGCGGCGGCGCGGCGGGTCTCCGCCCGA